AGCACTCCGATTTATTTTTAGTCAACCTTTCTATGACGTCTCTTTTGGACATTCATCACTGTCCAAAACATCCTCTAGATTCAAAGAGCACAACCTATTCATCACTTTACATTGCCACATGTCAAAGTTTCTTTTGTTGTCAAATTTTATGACATCGATTTTAACAAGATATGTAACCACCAGATGGATCGACGCATTCTCCACAATCGAGGTGGATGTATCCATGGCTCCATTGGATTGCATAAGCTCCACTAAATTGTAGTCTCCGTATGATGTCAGAATTGCACCAATCTGTCCCGCAACATGCTTCCAGCAATGATCCAAAATATAAATTAAACAACTATAAAATCAAAAAATATGCTTGATTGTTTCTCCTCCCAAGGCTAATTTGGAGAAAAAACTGCTCAATCTCATGCTCAAGTCCAAATTCAGCCTTTGTGTGACCCGCAAGCCATTTGATTTGCAAAAAATCACACCTAGCAGAAACTTGTTCTTGAGTGAAAGTCCTCTCTGTGTGGCACCATACCCGATCGAGCCTCCCTGATCTTGTGTCTTGTGATCTGTCTATGACCCAAGTAGTTGCACCTTCAGGTGTGCACTAAACGTTACTCATGTGCAGTACCAATTAATCCAAAACCTTCACGTGCCTCCACGTTGACGTGAGATCGACAATGTGCTCCTTTGCTCAATTTGCATGACATGTTCCGCTTCTTGGTACACGCCTGTAACGCCTATGCAACCTAGTCGAGTGCCCTGCTGTCGAGCCAAATTGTGCCTAGGTCACCCATATTAGTATAGACTCCCCGTGCACGGAAGTCACGTTGCCTGATTTGCTCTGATCAGACCACGAGAAACTGAGCATTAGGCAAGCACGCTTTCATTCAACCTCCATCCAAATGTGATCTGCTTGGCCTTGCCTTATGCTCGAAAACTCGTGCTTCAAATGCCGCACACCTGCCTCCTTTACATGAGCACCTCCCTCTTACAAGTCGAGCACGTCTTCCTTCGCCTGGATGAAACCACAAGATCATAGGACGAAATATCCTACTCTTCACGCCGTTACTGAAAATCGCTGAAATCCGGCTGATATCACTAGTTGTGAAAACAACTGGAATAAAGTCAAGAACGAACACAAACAATAACAAAGAATATGTCGATTTACGTGGTTCGGAGAAAATGCTTACGTCCACGAGGAGGGGATGATGATTTCACTAAATTGAATAAACAAATAAAAAATATAATTGCTCTCAAGCTCTTTCTTGTGCTCACATATATACAAAAACAGCCCCCAAGGCTTAATTTATAGATTTGAGATAGAAAAATTTAGTAAAAAAGCCTCCTAAACTAATTCCCAATCAACTCACAATCAACTCCTAATCAACTCCAAATTAAATCTCCAATTAAATCAACTAACTAGAAAATAATTAATTCCCTAATCAATGATTCATTTAAAAATTTATAAATAAATCCAAATCAACATGAAGGTATCCAGATTAATTAGCACATTCCTTTTTGGTGAAACTTTGGTAGATAATGCCATGAAAAAGACTAACATGGAAAAAAATATATGGTGGAAACTCTATCGTGTAATGAAGAGAATCAAGCATGCATAAAAAGAAAGATTCAAATCATCAGTGGCTTCTCTTTTAATCTTTTTGCAATGGTGGATAGTGAGCCAAAGCAGAAAAGCAAGAAAAGCGACTACTCTTCATCCCGCCTGCTCAGCAGCAGAAATGGCGGACATCATGCAATGGAAGTGGAGAGGAGAGTTTTGTTTCCTTCTGAAAGTTTTTTTTCTTCTTCTAATTATCTAAGTGCTTATTAGCTAGGGATCATTTTTAGTTTATTGATTCTGTTTTTATTTTTAAATATTTTTATTTATTGTATTTTTACCTATTTTATTTTTATTTTAAAATATTCAAACTAATTTTTATATGCTTGGAATGTTTTTAAAAATAACTATTACACCCATCACGATTAGCATAAAATACAAATAAAAATTTAATCATGTAGAATTTTTATCAAGATGGGCATATATAACTTTGAATTTATAGTAAAATTAGTGATATATACATCTAATATTAGCAACCATATGAGGGCAGTTAAATTTATTTGGACAAAATTTTTATCAGAATATACTGGTGTGGAACGGGGTATTCATCCGCTGTCACCTCTGAAAGGATTCTTGACGGCATGGCTAATCCTCTCGGTTGACTTAGAAGAGGCACCCATCACAGAAACCTCCTGGCCCGCATTTGGTTGGGGCCTACTTAAAGAACTTTTATTAGGTCCGGTGTAAGGACGTAGAGGAACATTACGTCGGAGGCAAAATTCCGTCAAAAATTTCGGTATTTGCTCGGTATTGCTAGGTATTATTTGATAATAGCGAGGAATACCGCTCTGTGAAGACCAATACCGAGTTATACCGAGCAATACCGAGTTGTACCGAGTTTTTCCTAGGAAAAACTCGGTACAACTTATACCGAGTTGTACCGAGTTTTTCCTAGGAAAAACTCGGTACAACTTTTGTATAACTCGGTATTGCATGCTCGGTATAACTCGGTATTTGGTCTTCACGTGATGGTATTCCTCGTTATTGTTTGGTATTGCTCGGTATTTCCCGTTTTTTGGCGCGATTTGGCCTCCGACCGGACGTTCCTCTATGTCCGGTCGGAGGACATAATAATTGTTCCTACTTAAGAGGCGCTGCGGCTCGAGGGAAATTGAACATGGGTTGGAGGTACCCAACCGTACTCGCCCACCAACCAACTTAAGCTAAGGTGTGGTTTTTTTTTCCTTAATATTTGATCCAATTTAAGATCAAAAGGGCATCAGTCACTTGCGCATTTGACAAGAAGTACAGTCCAAGGATTAGCTAAGCTTAGTAAAGTAAAACCAATCAATGAAACAAAACTGTTGTTAGCTTCACGGCTGATTTACCAATCAGGCCTGCAACTATTGTATATAATATTATATAAATGTATTTCTGAATACTAGTAAATTGTTAAGTGTGCAGTCTATATTTAATAAATTATTTAGGATAAGTTTTGATTTTGATTTGATTTTCATGATTGGGGCCTATCAAATTTGAAAATCATTCATATTTTATATTTTAAGATTATTGGTTATCAATTCAATATCTATTCATAATTAATTCTTAAAAATGTTGGCTATCTTCTCTACTATCATTCGCATTTAAGCCTTTGCATCTACCACCTTATGATGTAATGATTGAATATGTAAGAGTAAATAGTTAGTTTTATGTGTCCACAATAAGAAGCAATAATAAAAATATAAGAGAGTATGAGAGATGGAGAGAAGAGGGGGTGCCATACAAAAATGTAGAACTAATATAAATGATGTTTTTGTTCATAAAAATATTTTAAAAGATCGACACTTATGGGCATGCTAAGGTTTTGTTTGGGATAGATTTCTTATTGCTTTCTAAGCAAGTTTTTAATACAAAATTAAAATTTTTTAACTAAAAAGTTGCTTCAAGAAGCAGAAAGAAAACCGTCCCAAACGAAGCCTTAATCATTTACTCATACCAACTTATCATGCTACTATAAAATAGAAGAAAATCAACTACAACAAGAAGTCATGAAGATAGGAGAGAGAGAGAAAGAGAGAGAAAATGAGCGTAAACAAAAAAAATTTACTTAAGGGGATTTCTTCGAGACTTTAAAAAAAGGAGTAACAGTTTTTATTTATGATTCTAGTATGAGAAGAATCTCTTAATCATATCATTTAATAGCTTTTATTTAGATTCCACAATGGAGAAGATAGGAGGAGAGTAAATACACCAGAACTATTATTTCATTTTTCCCATCTAGCCCTCATCTTAGTAGGAATTACATTGTGAGTCATCATACTTGTGCCTGACTTTAAGGTGTTACCCTTCCCAACAAAGTACATAATAAATCATCATTTATCCCCTTCCAAACTTCTAACATATGAAAAATATGTCAAAGAAAATCCTTTTAACCAAATAGTACTATATATATTATGAAATCCATAGCCCACTTAAATTCGTTCTTTATTTAGACCTCCGTAGAAATTCTATATATATTTTCATAAAAATCACTTATTAAATCTTGCTAAACTAGTTCTTTATTTACATCTCCGTTGAAATTTTTTATATATTCTGATAGAAAATGCTTATTAAATCTTGTTATGGTATTTTATTTATATTATTTAAATTTAGTCTCACACTAAACTTGATATATCAAATCAATTCTCAACTTATACTTTCTAGCAATAAAATTAAAATTTTAGAACTTCTCATTATACACTATCTTTTCCCAACTTATTTTTCCTCTTAGTTTGATCCATACTAACTAAATTTTGATGCCACCAATGAACAACTTTGAAAATAACTATTATCTTCATCCGGACATCGTAAATAAGTAAAATAATGTGGGCTCTTGTCATCCAAGCCTATTTATTCTAAGATCAGGCTTTCAATCGTGGGCTTGTAGGCCTGAATCGGGCCTTAGCCTATTTTGAAACGAAGCCCATAGTAAGTTTATGATGAAATTACTGCTATTATATTATTGAACTACACTAATCTCAGTCTAAAAATCCTAAGCCATACTCACGGTAATCCAGTAGGATTATATATGCTAAATTATTTTCGGAACGCGACTGATGTAGATACCTGCAAGAAGATGGAAACAGAGAAACAAGCAAGCAAAATAACAGAGAACTAAGTTCTGTATTGAAGGGAAATATCGAAAAACTGCTTCATCTAGGAGCTCCCAGCGGGATATAAACCATCCGCACTCCTTTGCAGTAATCGGCATAAAGGCAAAAAGCTAGAAAATATACTAAGTAACTAACTATAGTACTAAGATAGTGGAGATTCCACATTCTAACGGCTAAAAAGAAAAAAAGTGTTAAGTTACTCCTCCCGGTTCCATTTAAGACACGATGCTCCGCATCAGCGACCTCCTAAATCTCTGACCTAAACCCTAGCACCAAATTCCGCGCGGCAAGAGAAGATACCGCAGCTAGAAGATAGCTAGAAGGGGAACTAATCAATGGGGATTCCTGCATTCTACCGTTGGCTAATGGGCAAGTACCCGCTTTCAGTCATCGATGTCCGCCAAGAAGACACTAAGTCTGTGAATGGCGTTTCGGTGCCGATCGATTCCAGCAGGCCAAACCCTAACGGTGTTGAGTTTGACAATTTCTACCTTGACATGAACGGAATCATCCACCCTTGTTTCCACCCAGAAGACCAGGTTTGGCGTGCTACTTTCGTAATGAGTTTATTAAACAAACATTTAACCCTTTTATTCGGCTTCATTTCGCAACCTAATTTTGTCGCCAGCCTTCCCCTGAAACGTATGACGAGGTATTTAAGTCGGTTTTCAAGTACATCGATCACCTCTTCTCTATAGTTCGACCGAGGAAGCTTCTTTTTATGTCAATCGGTTAGCAGGGAGCCAAAAAACTTTAACTTGTAAAGCAGTTCTTTTGACATACAGGCTGAGCTCTATTTTATCTTATATTTGTGCTAGACGGAGTTGCACCCAGAGCAAAGATGAACCAGCAAAGAGCAAGGCGATTTAGAGCTGCCAAAGAATCTGCTGATGCAGTGGGTTTGATTGAAAATGCCTTTTGTTGGTCTGCATCTTATTCATTTGATAACATGTGTGCATTGTTTTAGGCAGTAGAATTAGAGAAGCTACAGTCTGGCTCACAGTTAGAAACTGAATCTAAGGAAAGAAGCAATCTGGATTCAAATGTTATAACTCCTGGAACTGAATTCATGGCGGCTTTATCTTCCGCGCTGAAGTACTACATTCACATGAGATTGAATAGTGATCCAGGATGGAAGGGCGTCAAGGTAAGTTTCAGTTTCATTTTCTTTGTCTGCATTATGTTATTATATTAGTAACTCACATATGCTCCTAGATCATTCTTTCTGACGCCAATGTGCTTGGGGAAGGAGAGCATAAGGTAGCGTCATTTATTCGTTTACAGAGAAATCTTCCTGGTTTTGACCCCAATACACGGCATTGCTTGTATGGGTTGGTAAATGCTATTCCTCTTCGTTTTCTTTTTCTCAATGATTTGATGGTTTTCTTAAGAAATAAGTGAGTTATGCATGTTTGTTGCAGGATGCTGACCTGATCATGCTGGCACTGGCTACACATGAAATACACTTTTCAATACTTAGAGAGGTTAGCATCTGAGTAGCGTCTACAAACCCATTTGATTTGTTGTCTCAGTTTTTCCTGCTAAATGCACCTTTGATCATATGGTTGTGTGATATAGGATGTTCGCATGGCTCAAAAGAATGGTAGAGCCATTAACTTTGCTAAGAATGCCAAGGCAAACTGTAACAAAGAAAATAAATCCAAAACAGAAATTTCCAATGGCATTACAACAAAGAGGTTTCAGGTTTGTTCTTTTACTGCATGCTACCTTGGCTTCTTATAAGGTGTTTTCTTGTTGACTTAAAGTATCAATTTTAATGAAAAATGGTCCTATTCTATGATTATCTTCATCAATATGGTGTATTCCTCAAATGTATATTAAATTGGATTTCTCTTGGATTTCTTATATATTCCTCAAATTTATCATTGTTGTGATCGTAACCTACCTAGTGACCGTTGTTGTCAAGTGAAAAACTTTTCTAACCAACCACTATATGTAAACTCCATCTTCCCAGATTTTTTTTTTTTTTGCAAAATAAAAGTTTTTTGGTTATTCCTCCCTCTATTGCTATGAATAGAAGTATTTTCTTAATAGATTTAACTTTCCATGCATCAATAACATCGTTTTCTTGTTCAAATTTGAATTCAAATATAGCAAAAGAAACAACACTTTGTACCCTGCTTTCAGGCATTATGTATACTCTCATCTCTTCTTTTTTCCATTTGTTTTCTTCAGTAAAATGTGCTGTATATTGCATGATGTGCATGCATTCAGTCAAACTTAGGATATTATAACATCTCAACATTTATTTGATTCCTTTCTATCATTAAAATGAAAGTTAACTTTCAGTAAGAATTTCGTTATTCCCTCTTTATTGTTAAACCCTCTCTTAATTTTTATTTCATGGTGTGGTAAACTTGTGGATGGTGGATATTATTTTCCAAGTAGGAATACTAATTTGCCACCTTGTTCAATAACAAAGAAGAATATCATTTTGATAAAAATTGCTTTTATGTCGATATGATTTATTTTTCAAGAGTGATTTTTCTTCAAAATAATTTATATGTGATCATTATTAGGCGTTTGGTTGCTATTAACTAGAGTTAAGATTGTATGATTAATTGGGGATGGACATTATGAGTATTGTGTGATTAGATGATATCATAAAGTCTTAAAGGTAGATTTTAGATGATCACAATTTGGTCTGTGTGGATCTAAATATTGGGTATTAAAAAATTCATTGATATCTAAGTTTAGTGTGATAAAAAAGAGAATTTAAATATGATGCGTGACAACATTAGGAAGAAAATTAATGAATGATCATATTAGAGGAACTGTTGTGTGAAATCTATTGAAGATAATTTAATTGATAATTAGCTTAGCTGGTTTGTACATGCAGAACGCACACACACACACACACACACACATATATATATATATATATATATATATATATTCTTTTTACTTACTTTCAAAAGGTAGTGGGTTGTGTTATGGGGGGTGGGGGTGGTGTTTCCATTTTATTATAAAAGGGACAATTGATGGTTCGAAGGTGGCTTTGTAGAATCTCTCTCTTATCCTATTTGTTCTTTCTCTTTCTTTATATGTTTACCTACCTGTTTGTCTATCAATTAATTTATCTATCAACCTTAGTAAACTGCTAGGCCTTGCTTTAGAAATGAAGGATCTGAACTAATTAATCAAATCTCTAGCCTGGCTTATTTCTTTGAATCAGGGTTTATTTGTGGTAGAAATGCAGATCCTGAACTATTTAATCAAAACACTAGCCTGTCTTGTTTCTTTGAATCAGGGTTTATTTGTGGTAGCCTTTCCACAACTTTTTTTCCAGACAACTTTTGCTGTTTTTTATCTTTTTTTTGCTAAAACTTTGTTCTTGCTTTTGAAAACTTTTATGATAATAAGCAGTTTTTTACGATGGGATCTGCTAGGGGTGGTAAGAAATATGTTATCAAATTTTTTATATAGGAATAATTTATAGTTCCAAAAACAACTTAAAAAATTATACTTTGCTCACAACAGATCTAAAATTATTTTTATAGGTAGTCGCAACTCCCCAAAATGAACCCTTAGTCTTGAGGCAATGATATTTACTCCCTTAAATCAGGGATAATACTCCATTATATTTCTTCATTTAACTCCTAAAAATTGCTGTTCAGCATATAATGGATGTTCATTTGGTTCCTTTCTGCTTTATAAATATATAAATTCAAATAGTATTGCTAAGTACAAAGAAATGCTATTATTTTCAGCTTGATAGCCACTAAAACCCTCACAATGTAGTTGTCTGATGCTAGCTGTAGCCTTGCTTTCATGTAGTGCGTAAATTCATTTAGGGATCAGTAATGGAAAGCAATATCATGGTGTTTGCATGGAAGATATTACCCGTTAATCCTTATAATACTTTACTGATGAGCTAGCAAAAACTTTGCCGGCTCTTTCACTAAAGAAGAATATGATTAGAGGAAATCGTTTTTTACGTCCATGTCACCTTACCTCTTTTTTAGTATTTATCGGGGTACTTAAGAAATCCAGGAAAATTATATCAAGTAAACCCTTCATGAATAATAGGGATTATACCGTTGTACAGATTATTTTGTTTGTTTGATAGTGCAGATGGATCAAGTCATTGAAATCTCACTTATAAATCCAATGTCAGAAATGATTACCCATGCATAATCTTTATGCTCAGAGATCATCTTATCGTATCTCATATTTCCTTATGATACATCTTTACTTGTTTTCGTGAATTGCTTTTTGTCCGGATACAGCTTAAATCAGTTTCATCGCAGTTTCTCAACATTTGGGTTCTTAGGGAGTATCTATCACGTGACCTAAAGATACCGGATCCAGTGGTGAAGATAGATTTGGAACGGTTGATTGATGACTTCGTATTCATTTGTTTGTTTGTTGGAAATGATTTTCTTCCTCATATTCCCTCACTGGAAATTAATGAGGTAATTTTTACATCTTATTCTTCTTTCTTTTCTTATCTTTTATTATGCATAATACTTCTGCAGTTCTTCAGTGCATTTGCAGGATAGGAGGAAGCTCGTTTATATAATGTTTTTCATATTCTGTTTAAATGATACTCTGTAATTACATATGCACTGTTCCACATCTTTGCATTCTCAAAGTCATTTAAACCACATGTTTGTTTTTTCTTACATAAACTTGTAATGTAGGGTGCAATTGATCTGCTAATGGCAGTCTATTGTAAGGAGTTCAATACATTGGGCGGTTACTTGACTGAGTCCATTAAGGTTTGTTGTTAGAAAGTTTTTGCATTCTTTATGTTTTGAGCAATCCCTCTTTTCGTTTATGATTTTTGGTTGACAATTTATAGATGTCAGATAGTTAATTCTATCTCTTGGACCACTTTTTCATTTATTTAACTTCTTTTTTGGCATATAATAATCATGACGTGTATTTACTCTTTGGTACATGATGTGTTAGAGTGCAAGTTTTCAAATGTAAGTAAATGATGGGATGCATGATATACAAACATTCAATATTTAGAACTTGCAGGTTAGAAACTACCAATTAAAACAGTTGCTTATCCACTTTTAACACAATAGAGAAATCCACAAGACTATCGACATGATAATTTAATATTGCTTAGAATGAGGAAATGATAGGAAATACTTGATTTCAAGTATTTCCTATTCACTTCCACAACAAATAGCAATACAAACTGCTGTCCACAGCAGGAAAACAGCCCAAAACAGTGGAAAAAACAGAGAAAAACGGCAAGAAATTTGGAGAAAAGACTTGTATTTTACTAATAGGTGCAAGAAAAATAGCAAAGATACAAGGATCCTCTATTCGAGAGGAGGATCGCACTCTCCCAATCTCTAGAATTCGATCTAGAGCCCTAGCCACCAAAGAAGAACAAGAAAACTCTCAAAATATGACATAACCCTAATCCCCTCTTTTCTCCCTACTTAATGCATACAATTCAAATCTAATACAAAAGGACCCTACTTTTGGCTCCAAGATTCAATTCGAATTTCAAGTGGACCCCACCTAATTCCCCTCTTCTTGCTTCCGCCGGCTCCTCCTGACGTATACGAGCTGAGCCGGCCCAAGAGGCTGGGCCGGCTGGACCGGTGTTCTTTGGACGGGTCTAACAGGAAACTTCATGAAATTTTAGAAAAAAACAAAATTATACTTTGATCAAGAAATACACTGCAATAAAAAAATCAAATTGTAAAAAATATGAGTAAAATTAAGAATGCTCACAGAACCAAGCACAAGTTATGACGACGATAAATTAACATGGTAAGAGTTCAGTTGACCTCAATTGATTGAGGCTAATGATGATGGTGATGCTTATCTTAATATATTTGATTGTTCTGCCAGAATTGGCCATTAATGTTTGTCACTTTTTCTGTTTTGTAAATGAAGACACCATGAATTCATTGAATTGCAAGCTTCTGTTCATTTTTTAACAATTTTTTTTTATAATTATGACCTTATATTCATAAAAACCTTGAACTATCTTTTATTACTACACTTCTTTTCGTGATTTCCATATTCGCATATGTGACAACGCTTGCTTCAAGATCTGCAGGTGGATTTCGCACGTGTGGATCACTTCTTACAAATAGTTGGATCCTATGAAGTAGCTATCTTCAAAAAGCGTTATCAGGTCCCTAGCTCATGATACTTGCAGCTTTCACATTTTCTGTTTTTTATAAATAGACATATAGCATTTTGCCACTTTCCAGTATAGATGATTTGTTTACTGAAATTGGTAAAACTGCGTGAATTTTGCATAATTGATTATTGGCATTGTTTCTCTTCATTCTTGTAGCATTTGTTTTTTAGTTTTTAACATATGCTGTTTCAAGACAGCTTTAATGTAGTATAAATGCGTGATTTGTAGATTTCTTCTTAAAGTGTTAGTTCACTAATTTTGATGTTGCAGAAATGGCGTAAATTTATGCTCGCTAAAAGCCGTAAATTTATGCTTGCTAAATGGCTTTTGACAACATCAATGTTTATAAGTGGTTACAGTTAGTTGACAAGACGAAATATGATTAATATTTCATGGTTTATGTCCAGCATGCAGATCAAAATCCAATTAGGTTCTGAGACTAGTTTTGCATTTTAGATTGTACCAATAGAATAATATTAAAATGGTACAGTTGAGTGCCTCTCAAAGAGTAATGTTTTTCAACTTCAATCATTTCTTAGCAAACAGTCATAATCAACCTTGAAAATAAATGAATCTTTCTTTTGCAAAGTGGCTAAGTTCATGAGCAGCTACGATACAATCCAAAGTATTTTTCCCTTCAATGAAAGCACAATGAGAATGATTAACAAAACTAAGAAGGAAGTTCTTATGTCTGTTAACTAAAGCTTTGGTAAAATTTTTGAAGGTCCCATTAAGAAGACAAATAGGTTTAAAATATTCATAGTTCTTACAGACAGTTTTTTAGAATTAAGGCAAATTAAAGCATAGCTCAAGCATCAAAGAAATGCCTTACCCAAAAATATCTTCAGATGTACTCATCAGATCAAAATGAGTAGATTCACGCTCGTTGAAAATTCCACATAAGTCTAAGCAATTTAGAAGCTTTGAAAGAGAAAGAAACATCCTTTAATCTCTTTTAAAGAAATTGGGTGACTCCAAATCTGTTAAGTAATGATCATTAGAAGGGTAAAACTTATGAAAATCAACGAGCATTTGGTTGGAGCATTATGTTTGAATAGGTTATTGAAGTAGTCAGTAAAAACTGATAACAATTCTTTTGGATTAGTAATAAAGCCCCCATCTCTTTGAATTTGTTGTGAAATTTCTTTTATTTCTTCCGACTTTCCGCCTATGGTGCTGATAAATTTCTTCCTGTAATTTGTTGTAAAGCCACTTTCTTCCTTTTATTCAGCTTTGACTTAAATTTGATTAAGTTTAGCTATTATGTTGGTCTTTCTTGCTGCTTGATAATTTTTTGGTGCCTCATCCAAGTCTTAAGACACCTCTTATGCTGTGTAAGTTTCTTAAATAACCTTTTTACTATATCATCTTGAGTAGAGAAAACCCCTTCACCAATTAGGCTAACTCCATCAATCAGATTGGAGATATGACAATAGTCAATTGGATTGAGATTTATATTAAAATAAACCTGAAAATTATTAAAAAAATAGTTTAGTGGTTGCTTTTTATCCTCCATTAGGGAAAATAGCATATGATAGGAGGCAAGGAAGAAACAATCTAATTTAGCTAAGATCTCATCAATTAGATTATTAGATAAATTGAAGGATCTTTTCAGTTGAATTGAACATTAGCATATGTTTGAAAAGTTCAATTTTTACATCAACCTTACTTGCAATGTCCTAACTTTCTGTTTCTAGTATAGTGAAGAAATTATATTCTCCGACGAACTTATGATGTAATAGTAGAATTTAGTAGTCGTGGACACGTGTTCAAACTATTTTGGCACTATTTCTTTCATGCTATTTCGTAATAAAATTATTTAGAGCCCCCGTTGAAATAAAATGGGCCTAATTAGCAGAAGCATTGTAAATGTTGCGATTGATAAAATGGTAAATTATGAAGGAAAATTAGTGGGATATGTTTAGAGGCTGTTTGGTTTGAATTAAAATGGATTTGAAGTATTCCAAAAATAGGGATTTTAAAAATATTGGTGTTTGGTTTGAAATAAAAAAATCCAGAGTAACTTTTAAAAGTATTTGAAATTCACCCTCTAGTTCAATTTGGTGTATTTGGAAATTTGTAGATTTGGCCAAGTTTTAAATATACTATAAATTGTCTGTCATTGGCTCATTGCTAGCGCCGGGTGCGGTATCCACCTTACACAACTGCCATTTGCCACCACTAATGTTTGAGCTTTATACTGCATTCATTTTATTTTAAAGCCAAATAAAAAAATTAATTACCTGCATTTATTTTACAAACATCCAAATAACTACAAAACATTTCAAATATATTGCATTTCTTTTAGCTAACCAAACGGCCCCTTAATTATTTTTGCAATGTGTTTCAAGTGGAAAAAAATCAATATAGGATAGCTTTATTAAATGTACAGTTAAAAGTATCCACCATTTGATGAATATATAAATAGATTGCATAATCAGTTTTAGATTTATAAAAAAAAATATATTCTAATGCGTTTTAAACATTTTGCAACCTTTACATGTCTTATAAACTATACATTGCTCGTCTTTATGCTATTTTGATATCACTATTTGCTTTATTAAAGATCTTAGATGAGAGTTTAGTAATGCAATAAAAAGAATTTACCAAAAAAGACTATCTGAGACTTTATTTAAACTTTTGTGTATTGCGACATGTTATGAGTGCTCTATTAGGGTTGGTGCAACCGCATTGATTCCTAAGGAAAGCTCAATAACCTCTTATTTGGAGCATATGAAAAGTAAACTAATGCAAGATAAATGTATGATCGAAGTTGATTCAATTGAAGAAATGATAATTTATGAATATTCTTTTGAGGACTTATTAGATATAATATATAATTTGCAGCTATAATCCGAATCTACATTCAATGTCTTGGAATCTGAATCTATATTTACAATAGATCATGCTCACGAATTCGAATCTCTACTTCATTAATAGTTCAAAGTTTGATTATGAAATTTGACATGAGATTATTCCTCAACTTGAATTTTTAATATAAATTAAACCTATGTTTGAATGTTAAACTGAATCAATTGTATCTGATATTGTTGATCAAATGCAACAATCTGAAAATGCAGCTTTGAATGAGTTTTTTGTTTATAGGACTCATACGATGGATGATGAGATTGATGTTGACTTTATTTTAAGTTCTTTGTTTTTTAATATACTAATTCATAAATAGAATCTTATGGGGAAATTTAAGTTGCAACAAAATTTTTCAGGAAATCATTAATATCACACCTTAAAACAAATCTAAAACTTAAAATTTCATATATATTGTCAATTCTAAAAGTGTATAATGCATTACAATTTACAACTTATATGCAAATCATTTCAATTAGTTTTCCTTAAAGATGTTACCCGTTTATATATACATGTCATACTTGTATGGTTTGTTTGCTTGTAAGAATTTATTTCTAAGAATTTCTTTGCATGGATATTATTCCTTTTATATTTTCTTATTTGTCTTATTTAATTTGCATAATTATTTGTACAACATATGCATGACTTGTACGTTGATATTCAAATAAAATTGGCTTCGGTTTATGAAAATTACAAGTTTTATGCTGATGTGAATATGAGATATGTTGAATTTAAACTTGGTGATGTGATCATGCTTTATCTAAATCTAGATTTTTTAAGAAGTTGAATGTAAGGAAGGAAGGGGACATTTAAAGTTATGTAAGACTTATGCCGGCAAATTGAAAATTCTAGGAAAATTTGATATAAACTCAATTTTGAATTTGTCTTATTATACCTTATTTCTTGAGCCTACCGCTAATTTCTTTGATTATACTCTCTTGCTGCCTCTTTCTTGTTAGTGCATATCCAATTCTTTACGAGATACTTCTAGGCAACTTAATTTTGAAGCTATTTTAAATGATGAGATTATGTCCATTAGTGATGTTATATTTTAAATCTATATTATTTACTAGTGAGATAGACCTAGTTGTGATGATTCATGGATTATTCTATAGTTATTGGCTTGATGAGTATCAAATGATAAGTTTTTTAGAACCAAATTTGTCCAAGCTAAATAGAATTGATGAAAATATTCATGTTTATTCATGTTAGAAACTTAAAATCATATCAAACATTAATTTATATGCAATTTATATATTTATTTTCATTAGTTGGTTGATTTTATTTATTATTTTATTTTTCTGTTTTAGGTTAGTTTATTTTTATGAGATTAAGGCTTTGTTTGGGATGACTTTCTTACTGCTTCTTAAAATAATTTTTTATTATAAAAAATAAAAATTTTCTACTAGAAAGCTGATTTAAGAAATAGTAAGAAATCTGTCCCAAACGAAGCCTAATTCTAATATACTTTAGTTTATATTAATTTCCTCAAAAGGCTTTGTTTGTTGTTCAATTCGATTGTTTTTTGGATTGAGGCTATGTTTTTGGATTAAATTAATACGAAAGAGTTGTGGCTGTGCTTTATGGCTTGAGATTTGCGGATTAGTTTATATGCTGTTATAGGGAAAGAATGTAGAAAAGCCTTATTGTTTAAGGATGAAAGAGAGTGTGAGAGAAGTCAAAATGTTAATTTGGAACCTAGTGATTTGTGGTCGATGAAGTTGGAAATTAATAGGAGCACAGATAATGGGTGCAGAACTTAGCTGAGATGCCACTTAATATGGTCTCAAAGGATCCTTGATAAATGGCCACTTTGTGATGTAGTGTTAATAACTTCTATGGCATCATTTTTTTCAGTACCTTACTTAAAAAAGAGAATGTTTCTTGTCTAGTTGGCATTTCCATACGCAAGATTATTGTAATCTCCATGGCATCCTTAGCCATCTAGAAAAGGGTTCTTCAAAGTATGGGTCCAGCAGTGCCACATGTAGACTGCTATACCTAATTTCCCCAACTAAATAAGATTTTACGTCTACCAATATCGCATATTTTTTGAATAATAGTTTTCCCAACTTGCAAGCTGGCACCTGAATTCCTTCTTAGCAATTTAAGAATGCTTATACTGCTTCGTTATTTCTGAAGTCTTTTAGCTTTTAGAACTATGCATATACTTTCCCATTGCTATCTTTATCATCATCCAAATGGTTTTGTCTACTTGTTTATCCACTGATTTTCCAGTGACAAGTCGCCTATTATTACAGATACAGAAGGAGAGGGCTGTTCATTTGGGGACCGTTTCAGATCCTAAAAAGGGAAATAGAACCTCAGGTCGCTCCTTTATTCATTCGTATGGACAGTTTTGAGTTTAGATTATCCGTAGTCCTAATGTAAAATATTCATCAATTACTTTTTGTAAAAAAAGCTTTTTTGTTTTAAAGTACTTAATAGTGCTCATTTCCTTCGGTAACATGAAATAGATTCTTAAATAGATTTTAGAAGTTGCAGTAACATCCCCACAAGTACTTCGTCAAATGATGGAAAACCTGGAATCACAATTGACCAGGTTTGATATCTTCTGCCTATGATATCTCATTAAGAACTTGGTGGCGCTGGCAGTTGTTTTTGTAGAAATATTGAAATTTGTTTTGATAGGTGAAACTTGGAGAGGAAGGATGGAAAGAACGGTACTACGCTGAAAAACTAGAATCGAGTAGTGTACATGATCAAGAGAAAATCAAAAGACATATGGTTAGCACATTGTTTTCTTGTCTTTTACGTTATTTGCAAGCTGGGATCTAATCTTACTATGTGAGGACTCTCTTGAATATTTTATTCATCAGCTCTATACATGCCTTCTATGTTTAGCTAAATTTTTGATCTTGTGGCTGTCACAAGAGCTTAATTGCAGATAGTCTGTTAAACTTAAGGGAGTTTTACCTACATACCACTTAATACTATTCTATTTACATATTTAACACCTAAAACTTTAATATTACATAAATACCATCCATAGTTCATTTTCATATAAAATATGAGTGGTAGAAATGAAATATATGAGTGGTAGGAAAGAAATATAAGTGGTATATTTGATATTAAAATAATATAGGGTGGTATGGATGTAATATTAAAGTTTTAGGTGTTAGATATGTTAATAGGATGTTATAAAGTGGTATGTATGTAAATTTCCCTAAACTTAATTGGTGAAGACAAATTTTCAGTGCATTATTTTATTGTCTTTTAAATTATTTTCGAAACTGGGGTCTAGTCTTACTACCTGGGGGCACTTTTGAATATTTGATGCTAGCACAATAGACTAAAAAAATCAAAGGAGAACACTAGGGAAAGTAGAACCTGACTCAATTCAATACTTAGTAAGCCAACACCAAACAAACTTGAAAACAATCAGAAATTATACAATGAGAAAACTTAATTAATAAAAAAAATTACCCTCAGAACAACCAACTAGTGGTCACCTTATATGCATCGAAATAGTAGGTAAAATGATTAGTGCTCAAAGACATGCAAACCAGTGGTCCACCACAGCAACTTTGGGCCAATGTCCACCACAAACTTCTCCGGCAAATGCTAACAAACCGGTCAACCAACACCTTCAAAAGTTTTAGAAGAAAGATACAAATAGGGTTGAAACTTGCAGAGAGAAGAAATAGATAAGAAGCTCGAGACGAAGTTATAGAGAGGAGAAGAGAAAGGGGAACATAGCTCACAAGCTAATAAAGAAGAAACCACCCTCAGGTTTTAGTATTTATCACTCACCAAAAATCTCCTCCAATGGCCACCAAAACTTCCCTTTTATAGCCACAAAAGAGAGACCAAAAGACAGCTCAAACGCCCTAAACAACCAACCAACAAAAAAGGAAAAAAGGACAATTAAGGCTCCCAGAAATCGAACAAACACAATCAGGAACCGGGATAGAAATAGGAACCGGGGGACCCAGGCAGAGGAACCGAACAGCCCAGCAGGCAGGGAACCGAATAGCCCAGCAGGCAGGGAACCGAACAGCCAACCCAAGCAACCAAGAACCCACCAACTCCCAAATAGACCAAACCCAAATCAGCCCAAGTCTAACCACCACAAAGAAGCTAGCACACCAAAGACTTGCTATGTCCAAGAGCACAACCTACTCATGATCATTGATTGTCTTCCATCATAGTTTAGAAAAAATATAAAAAATCATAAAATTCAAATTATAATAAAGTACAAATTAAAAATAAAATTGAAATGTGCATCAATATTTTATTGATTGGTCTTATACATGTCTTCTATCTTTCGCTAAAATTTGGCCATCACAAGTGCTTCAAATTGTATATAATCTGTGAAACTATATTGCGGAGGAGGATTGTACTATGCTCAACATTTCAGTTTGAAAATTTTGAATACAATTTCCATGATGCTATAAATGGCTGTTTGGCATCAATTTATTTTTAGTTTTTTTAATACATGTTTGATTATATTGTATTTTGTCATTTTTTATTTTTTTGTTCTTAAAACAAATCATGGTATTTTTAATAACTTTTAAAACAACTAAAATTAACTAGTACCATCAACCACCGTTGGCTCAACAATCATCGGCCGCTACCATTGCCATTGATTGCCCCATGCACTGCTATTGCCATTGACCACCACCTCCATCATCACTAATAACCACCTCTGACCACTGTCTGCAATCTCCACTGCTATCACATAAATTAATTTCTGCAATATGCAAAATAAAAGCATTCCATGTTTAAAATATAACAAACATATTTTATTTCATGTTAAAATATTAACAAAATAAAAGAAAAGAAAAAAATAAAAGTGAAAAACATGAAGTGATCCCAAACTGCCTCTAAAACATTTCCTTGTTCAATAGTGCTTGAAAAGTTACATTCAATATTCTATAGCATGCAGTCTCCTTTCTCTTCTACCTTTCCCCTTTGAACTTTATTTGGATGTGCTTATTTTGCATTAGTTATAATTATAATCAATTAAAGTTGAGTTAATTTTTTAATTTTTATGAATCTGCTCTGTTTCTAGGTCAAGAAATATTTTGAAGGAATATGCTGGGTTATGCACTATTATTATGAAGGCGTGTGCTCATGGCAATGGTTTGTGCATAATCTTAATGCATTGTTTTGTTTATATGTGAACTTTGATGCCATCAATAATTTTTTTGATAAAGTTGTCACGTTAGATAATTAATTGTGATGGAAATGTTACAGTTAAGATGAATGTATGACAAAATTATAAATAATTTTAGAATTGATTTTATTAGATAGATGATGACCATCTCCTATTGAAGATATGATAATTAAATATAGGCTTTTGGGTGTTTTGAGCATATAAAATAGTCATATGTGATTTTTTTAAGCATTAAAGATTTGTTTCATTACATGTCATGTAACATCACATCCATTTCTCACATTATAATGCATATTTACTTGCTCGAGTAAATATTCTCAGCTTACTATTATAGTTCTTCAATGTATTTGACTAAAACTTAGGCGATTCTATTTTGGAGGTCGAAAGCATTGAAAGTGTAAGAGATACGTGAAAGAGGGAAATAAGAGAGGCGGAAAATAACTTAGCCTAAAAAAATGAATATATAATATATTATTATTAAACAAATAATCAAATAAGTTACAATTAAGCAAATTTTAATCAAGTAATAGACGAGTAATCATCAAGCCTAGCATCAAGCCTTTATCAGGTTATGTTTTGAACAATATGCAAGATGTTTGTGAAGGTAAATAATAAAGTTGGATTATGTTCAAGTTTGGTTCATTTAATATTCAAGCTTTTAATATATGCTCATACTTATTCAATTATTATTGAACAAGTTTTAATTGAGGCAAGCCGAACTATTCATTGAGTGCATTAGTTCACTTACAAAGATGGTGATTGTGATAAAACAAATGAAAGTCAGGACATATGAAGTTGATGGGGACATCAGATCGTGGAAGGTTTATCAGAGACGTGGTTGCCGATCTACGGCCACGATCGAGTCATTGTATTTTTGAGTCCTTTTGTCATTTCATTATTTATGTATGTGTTATTTGCTTATTGTTATTTTGGTCTTTCCGTTTGTACCCCTTTGACGGGATGTGTCATGTATGAGCCCTAAGGGCAATTGAGTCTTTTAGTCTTTGAGTCCATTGTACTTGGCTGTATATAGCCCTTTGTTTATTGTTTTAAGTTAATGAATGAATGATGATGAGAATTTACCTTACTATTGTTTTCTTAGAGCTTATGCGAGAGCTTGAGAGAAAGAGCTAGAGATCTTGGTGGAGCTTAGGCGAGGCCACCTGTCGTACCCAACAGTCACCACCAGTGGCTCTTGGTCCTCCTCTCTTCCCTCACCACCACCTCCGGCCACCTTTACTCCCCTCACCCGAACCCTTCCTCCTCTCCTAATCCCCACGGCCAAAGCCCCACCCGAGCCCCTCCTCCTCTCTCAAACCCACGGCTAGAGCCCTCACCCGAGCATTGCCGCCGGCCACACACCCCTAGCCGCCGGCTTGTTCAGCCCTAGCTCCTCTCATCTTGTGTTTCCTAATTGGGCCTTAGATAAATTGGGATAGATTTTGAAATTCAAAAAAATTCTGAATTGATTTCAAAATCTTTCCTAATTTATCTTTTCTATTTTAGGAAAGTATTTTTTTAGATCTATTTGAAATTTAAAATTCAAAAGGATCTTAAATAAATATTTCCTAAAGTCAATCCCCAATTCTAGGAACCATAATACACAACATTAATTGCCCCCTTGATCCATGCATGCCGCCGGCCCCCATAGAAGGAATTTGGGGATTGGTTTCCTAATTCCCCTCTAAACCTAATTAGAAATATTTCTAATTTTCCCCTCCATCTCCTTAGCCGAAATTTCCCTCTCTTTGTTTAAAATTGTTTCCAAAGTGAACCCCTTACTTTTGGAAACAAAATTAAACCCTTTCCCCCCATCTTGCTGCCGGCCTCCTTCCCCAAACCCGCCCCTCTCTTCTCCACTTCTCTCCTCTCTCAATAGCTCTCTAACGTTCAAACTAAATCTGAAATTTTATTTCAGATTTTCCTTTTGGCTCTTCCTCCCTTCAATTGTAAGAGAAACGTCTTTCTCTTCAATTGAATTCAAGAGCCCTACCAAGTGCTAAGAAGATTTTACATTCAAGCATCCATGAATGACGGATCCGGAGACTGAGTACGGGATAACTTGGGACGAAGACGGCTTCACCGACATCCTACGATCCACTTTCTTCGATGTGAACCCGAGTATTGACCATACCGTTGAAGACTACGTGGAGCGCATCCTTTTTGCCTTGACGGAAGCCATTGACGAACACTTTGAAGGCGTCAAGTGGAGGATCTACACCTCTCCCTAACGAAGGTTTCTCTTTCGCCTTGCGTCTTATTCCTTTTAGTCTAAACTCTCCTCGGTTGATTGCAGTCACGACGGACTCTTCCAATTGCTCCTGCTTAAGCTTAGTAATCATAGGATTTGAGTGCACGTTGATGCATCCTAATTCTCATTGTTAGATTAGGAATTAGTTTGAAAACTACTACTGCTCGTTGTGTTGCTTTTCTATTTTTTTTTTGGAAGTTTCAAAGTTCTTACCATGTGATTTAGCCTAAGCAGATAATTACTACTAGTTTTGATTCATCGCTTTAAATTGCTAGTAATCTTGTTCTAGTATTATTCTAATCACAAGTTGTGCAATACCCAAATGAACTCATAATCTTTTCATTTACGTAGTCCTGTATCATCTGGTATCAGAGCATGGTATGCTCTTGCATGTTTTAGGATTCCTGGTAGTTTTCCTTTTATGCATTTAATTTGCATTGGTTTCATCTAGTAAGCTACTCAATTTATCCCTAGGGTGCTACCAAATCATCGTGTTTCATTTTACATGCATAAAACATCTTAGTTCACCCTTACACCTCATTTAAGTGTGCTGTCCAGAAAATTTATGCAGTTTTTTAGCATGCTTTAGGATCACTTATCAAGTGCTTATTTGCTGTCCTTAGCTTCGCAAACATTACTACTTGCTAGAGTGACTTAGTACTTAAGTGTAGTTGCTGTCCCTGAAATTCCTGCACCATATAGGGTCATTTTAGAGTGCCTTTCCATCCCCTATTTTGCTGTCCACTTCCTAGGAAGCCCTCCTAGTACCCCATTGTGTTTAGGAATGGACCCGGAACAACTAGGAAGGACCTTAGACCTCTTGGTAGGTCAAATGAACACTATTAGTCAGCAACTCAAGGAAAACCAGTCGGATCTAGCTGAGCTTCGTAGGAACACAACCGAGAGATTTGATACACTTGAGCGAGCTAGAGACCACCATACTCCCTACACCACATCTAGACCACCTTCTATGTATGGGGATGAGACCTACCCGGATGAGAGGCTACATCGGGCCAATCATCGAGCTCACTACCACGGACATGACCCACGTCATGATCCAGATTTAGATGAGAGACATCACCGTGCCAATCATCGAGCACCTTACCGCGGACATGATCCTGATGCACCACTTATGAAGAACATTAAAGTTGACACTCCTACCTTTGATGGCACACTCGATCTCCAGCTCTTCCTGGACTGGATCAAAGATATAGATAGCTTCTTTAAGTGGTATGACATTTCTGAGACTAGAAAAGTCAGCTTTGCGGAGACTAAACTCACGGGTAGGGCGAGTCAGTTTTGGGCCAATTTAGAGAGTCTTAGGGAAGTTAGGAATGAGTACCCCATAGTTGATTGGCCGTCCATGAAGCGGGAACTCAAGCAGAAGTATTTACCTCAGTCGTACTTCCTCCGCCTATTGGACAAGTGGAATAGACTGACTCAAGTCAATAAACCAGTGAAGGAGTACATCACCACTTTCGATGACTACTTGATTCGCTGCAAAGGGGAGACCTCTACACCCCTGCGCAGATCCTATCTATGTTTCGTACCGGGTTGCGAGAGGATCTTCGCAATGAGTTGTTTGACCGGAACGTCACTACACTGGAGAATGCCTACAGCCTGGTATTGGATTTAGAGGAGTCCCGTTCACAACACCCGAGTCGTTCACATGATTCTAAGCCCTCCTTTAGACATGCTGGTAGTTCTACCCCGAACACCACTGCTGGGAGCACGACCCGACCACCCACGGGTCCACCTACACCTAGATCTGATTTTTGTAGCAAACCTCCCCCACCGGATACCCCTCGGTCCAGTCCCGGGACCAAGTGCTTTCGATGCCAGGGATATGAGCATATCGCTTCTCAGTGCTCCAGTCCTTATAAGGTTTCGATCATCGAGGAGATTACTGAGGACGATCTCGAGCCCGAGGTTGATCAGATCCACCAAGTCGAGGAAGAAGGCGAGTACTTCGAGGAGGATGACGACACTACGGTCCTCAATTGCCTTCAGAAGTTGGATACCTCTCCCATATGCGTGGTGAGATGTGCACTATCCCACCCGACACCCACTGATGACTGGCGTAGGACCTCGATTTTCCATACCTACACCAAAATCAAAGACAAGAACTGCAAAGTCATAGTGGATAGCGGTAGTTGCATAAATGCTTTTCATCCAGCATGGTATCCCAGTTAGGTCTGTCGGCCGTTCCTCATCCCAACCCGTATAAGGTATCGTGGGTCAACTCCAATGCCTTGGAGGTGAAGGAACGAAGCCACGTGCCCATCTCCTTTGCCACTTATAAGGAGAATGTCTGGTGTGATGTGTTGACTATGAATGTTGGATAAATCTTGCTAGGTCGCCCCTGGATCTACGATAACGATGTCCACATTTATGGGCGTTCAAACACCTGCGTGTTTGAACGTGCTGGTGAAAAGATTAAGCTTTTGCCATCGCAGCCCCGGGTCGCAGATGCCACGAAATCCAACCTAGTCAAATCTAAGAAAGGCGTGAACCTTGTCACCGCTAAGGTCTTGACTGGTAAGATTGCTCAAGGCGCCCCTCTGTTTGCCTTAGTAGGCCATGAGATTCCCACCGAATCTGACGAGCCCATTCCTCAGGAGGTGCAGCCTATTTTAGGACAGTATGCTGATGTCTTTCCCGATGATCTTCCAGATCAGTTACCCCCACTTAGAGACATTCAACATGCTATAAACT